CACTTTTTGAAATACATAAAACTTCACAACAATCAGTCCATAAGCTTCGGAGAGGGTCTCATAAAATTGCCAATTACAACAGACCACAGTCGACAGACAGACGGAAATGGAAGATCTATTTTTAAATACTCTAGGAGTCACGAAACGTTGAGACAATATTAAATTAATCGTTCCCCGGAGGGATCCTATTACAGTTCTTCCCTAGCGTACACTCGGTAAGTAAAAACGTTCTTACTTCCATTTTTAACAAAATAATGAATCTTTGAAATATAGAACCTTTTAGAAATGTATGGAGTGCAACATCTTCAATGTTTTGACTAGATTTATATGATGAGCGTTTTATTTAAACTACTAAAATTTTTGTTGATAACAATCTGTGTAGCCAAAAACTTATTTGTCTATTGTTATATTATCTATAAATATCTAGAGTTTTTGTAAATAACAATAATAATTTAGATCGTACAATGCCTACAACTAAACTTTATTACAGTTAACGGACTTTACATTATATCAACAAAAGAAGACACCCGAGAAGCTTATTTCGTTGATGTTGCGATATCTAAACAAATAAAAATACTTGTAATTACTAATTAGTTACTGCATACCAGTGAACAAATAATATTAAATCGTAACAAAATCTCAGTTATATTAAATGTCGGTGTAGTACCAAAAAATCTAATTGAAAATTTAAAGTTTTTAAATTTAAACGACTCAGTCATTGTCAGTCCCAACTGTATTGTTACATATTCGTCAACTTTTCGAACAGTGTGATCATGTCAGTTTGGATACAGCCTACTAGATCAAATTACTAGATTCGTTAAGGTAGGAAGAACTCACGGAAAATAGCAGACGCAGGTTTAGTCCTAGAAACTGAAACATTTTTTCATTTTTTCATCAAATTAATTAATGCTTATCATTAATCTGAGCACCTGTACGTTACTACCGAATGCTCGTCATTTCCGAGTAGGTAGCGACTCTTAAAATAATGATAAAAACTGTAGCCTTTATTGTTATATATTTATACAGATAAAACTTACTTAAATTCATTTATCTTGAAACACAAGTACCTAGAGATTTACTAAAGATTTATAACAAGGAATTATAAGTTCCAAAATTTTTGCAACTTATGATTTATTACTTGACAAATAGAGAAAGTTATGTTTTTTATAATGATTTTAGATACAACAGTCATGTGGCTGCATTCGAGGTACTGCAAGGGTCAAATCTCTTCTTTTTATTATTTTCCTTAACGATTTATGATATCTTTCGGGTAATGCTGATTGCATTAAATTATTTTCACCATAAATAGTGAATCTGATATTGTACACTTTTAAAAAAATAGTAAAATGTTTTATGAGTTATGTAACCGTCACAAACTAAAACTAAATATTGATAATAATACTATTTTGTAAGTTCTACCCATAAAATCAGTCCATGTCTCGCCACCTCTTTAATGGAAAATGCAGCTCGCATTGAAGGAGACACTGTTAGAGAACTTGAACGTATTTGTTCCTCTTCTTCAAAAATACTTGGATTTATTTGCCGTAACCCCAAGGTTTTTACTAATCCTTCAGTCCTACTGAAATCTCTATATTCTACTTTTGTTTTAAATAAACTAGAAAATGCTTCTAATGTTTGGTATCCCATATATGCGTCACATTGTCTTGCTTGCGAACGGATTCAGAAACGATTTTTGAAGTATCTCTCATTCAAAATTGATGAAGTTTATCCAGAACGCAACATAGAGTATAACTCATTGCTTGAGAAACATAAATTTATTAGCCTCCAAAAGCGCAGAGTTCTCAGTTTGCCTGGAAGTTAACAAATACACACTAAAATTGATTGTCCTGCTTCATTAAATCATCTTGACTTCATTGTACTCCGAACTGTTTTACAGTACAGCACTACTTTTTATTTAAAAACACCTAAAACTCACATATGTAGCAATGCAAGTAAAGAGTTTAGAGATATTGTTTGTTAGGAGTATATTATAAGTTAGGAGTATAAGTTAATATTATATAGGCTTATTTAGTATTTTTTTAGTTTTCGCCGAAGTACTGTTTTCTGTATATCACTGCTTTATTTTATTTTAATATTATTTTTTTGGCTTGTTTACTTATTTTTTTTTTAGAATTTGAATCTTTATGTTTAAGTAATTTTACTAAGTAGTTAGGAAAACTTAATTTTAATTTAAGCCAGTTATTTATAATTACGTTGTAAATAGTTTGAACAGTTGGGCAATAAAGCTTATTAAATTTTTACAGTAAAAGTACTCGTAGAATTCGATTAGAATCATTAGTCGCTTAGTTTTATAATTTGTCAAAAACGTTGTATACACTTTGTTCAGCTAAAAAAAAATATATTTATAACACTGTTAAATCCTCACAACTTAAATCAACAGAAAAATCAAAGTTTTTGTATACTAGATACAACTAAGTTATTTATTTACTACAAATACAATTTATGTTTAATTTGTTTTAAAATATGACCGTGTTCTCCAGTTGTTTAACGGCAACTATTTATTTTTATTTGTTGTAATTTTTGCATCTTTTTTGTCCCTAGTAATATAAATATTCGAGTTCTTTGTTAACTGATGCTATTTAGTGCAGTTGAACCTTGAGTGATTGTTTATAATTACTATTATAACCGAAAGAGAATTTAGGCCGTCTGTAAATGGTGTGTTGCAAATAAGTTCTATTAAAAAAAGAGATCGATAACATCATGAATAAAAAAAATAAAGAGTGACTGACTGATTACAGGTCCTTGGCATAAATCGTCGTTCGAACTGAGATCCACTATTGAGAATAACTATCAGGAAAGAACCAGTGGACTGATAACATGCTTCGTAGATTCAACTGAAACAGGAAATCCGTTATGACGAATTTTGTTATTTGGAGATTACGACTTAATCTTTGATAGTGCGATGTGGACTGTTTCCAGTAAAAACGGATTTCGGGGCTTAAATGCAACGCACTGATTAGAACAAGATTTAATATTAACTTTTATTTTAACAAGAAGTGTGAAAAAAGTGTCTCACGTGCATATACACATGTAGGCAGTTTTAAAGCTATAATCAGTTTGTGGATCATTATCTAGTGTATTAATCCAGAAATTTCAATTACGATATATTTTTGTACTGGTCACCATTGTTGGGACATCCTGTATTACAAGTTATTAGCAGAAGCTAGAAATGAAATGACAAAGCTTCACAATCAGTACGTAAATTAAAATTGCCATTATTAGGTTTATATATAATAAGTATTATGAAATTATTCGTGTATGAAGGGGTTCTATTTCTACTTATTTATTTTTACCAAGTTTCACGTTTAATATTCACGTCAACAGGGAGAAAATAAAATTACTCTTACATGTTGTTCTCTGTGGTTTTCTAACTACGAAAGACTGTTCAGATTTTCTATTGTAAACAGTTTTAGTTAATTTTACTACTTAGAGATTGTTAATTTTATTAATTTATAGTCATGATATATAGAGGAGTGGTGAGGCTATAAAATATGCATTAATATGTGTTGTGGGTATTTCGAAGTTAAATGGAAATTGGTCTCATACCTCAAACGCAGTTTTGCGTCAGCCTTAAGATCGACTTATTGCAAAAAGAAATCTGAAAGATACTACCATAAATGAATATTTTCTGTTGAAATTGTTCTCTCCATTTTTTAGTTTTCGAGGGTAAGCTTAGGTACAAATTACATAATAGAGTTTTTTGGCGAAAGGTTAATATTTTGCAATGTAAATTCTATTTTACTTTATTACCTTAGATTTTTGGATGTTTTACAACTTCACTTAGAAGCTATAAAACCTACTGCACTGGAATCTTGTAAATATTTTAAGGTCATTGCGAAAATAAACAATAGTTATACATTTGTCTCCTCCAAATTAAATCTTTAAAGGCTTTTTTAATTCTTCCAATAAATTAATGTACCTACAAAATTTCTTCAGTTATTTCAGTTGTTACTTAGAAGTCCTACTTTTTGTTGTGTTTGAACTCGAGAACTTCGGTAACGTAGTCATGCAATGTTCATGTACAACTTGTAGACTTTGTGAATTATGAATATTCCAGATAAAAGTATCAACGTAAATTAGTGCAATCATCAAAATGCGAGAAAATATCTTCATTTGTTTAAAACAAGCTTAGAAATATATATCTACCTTAGTGTATGTTTATTATTTGTTGACAGAATAATAATAATTATTTATTAAGTATCACTAAAATAAACTCTACATGTAGTTATTTTTAAAAACTACTTTACTATCAGATGGTCGTTAAGAAATAGTTATTTATGCAACTAGTGAGTAAAGTGCATCTTTTTCTTACGAGAAGGAAAATTTGCCGCACGAGCGAGTGCGTGAATCCGCCGAGTAAAAAAAAGCCACTTTACTCACGAGTCGCATACAAATTTTTTGTCGTGTTCGTAACAAAACTCAACACCCACCAACTTCAAAAACTTTTTATTTTGGGACATAGATATTAAATGTAACCGTATTTGCTGTCTTGACAATTTTTTCGAGGGTGCACGAGAAATCTTCATCGCTGTCCGATTCCATTGTCCGAGCATACAAATTACCACAACACACCGAGAAAATTCATACAAACCACTTGTGTTTATTAATTATTATAGCAACGGCAGGGTTCTATATTTTAGTTCCGTTAAAAAATGCCACGCTACGACACTTTTTTTCACTCAAATGCGTGAACCACTATGACACATTTTTCACGCTTCTAGTGTGATGAAATAAACGTATCCTTTATAAACAAAAATTAATAAAAAATGTTACACTTTTTTTAACGAACGTTAAAAAAATATTATTACAAAAATTTCGAACTTCGATTGACTATTTTATACATAGTGTCAAAATCAATCAATAGAAGCGCATACTTGATGGTAAATTTAAATGGTCGCTCTAGAAACTTAAGTTATCTCAAATGATAACAGAAGTTTACATAAAAAATAGTTTTTATCTGATCTTAACACAATATAAAATGATGTCCTACTTGAAGGTTTAAAGTAAAAACTTCAACATGAAGCTAGCAGTGCTGGTGATTTTGTGCTCCCTTTCGGTTTACGCTCATCCATCATTAAAAGCAGCCGAAATATGCACTGCAGATAAGTGCAAGATTGAAGATGATTGTCGTTGTTCTTCACGTATTAATCCAATTAATAATGCAGACGATCCAGCACCACAAGTAAATTTTCTACCTCATAGTGATAGTTAATTTAATGTCTTATATTACAGCTTATAGCGATTACCGTTAGTGAATCCATTGTTCAGACGCTTTATGATAACTACTTGCAGCCTTTGTTTTTTGACAGAACAAATCCTGATGGTAGTCCAGTTGGTCTCACCTTTTATGTACCACACGAATACACCGACTATTATTTAGTGCAAGATCTCTATTTGCGTGGATACGAAATTGGAGATCATTCAATAACGTAATTACGTTTACATTTACTACCGTATGATATGACATAAATATGTAATATTATTTCAGAAAAACACCTAATCAAACATACTGGCGTGAAGCTACTCCTGACGATCTAGAGCAAGAATTCAGTGGACAAAAGACTATTATATCAACTTTTGCAAATATTCCTGCTGAAGATATTGTAGGAGTTAGAACTCCTCAGCTTCAGATAGAAGGAGATACTAGTATTAATGCTTATGTGACTTCTGGTCTCGGTTACGACAATTCTTGGCCGACATATTCCACAGAACGTATTTTGCCTTATACTTTGACGTATGCTTCCAATCAAAAGTGTTCTGCTACGATACAATGTCCAAAAGATTCACATCCTAATTTTTGGGTGGCACCTATAACAAACATCAAAGGCGCTAATAATACAGAATGCAATTCTCTGGCAACGTGTTTGGTGGCGTAAGTTAATTCTTATTACAATATCAAAAATTTAAATAAATGTTTCAGGGGAACTGCCGACGAAATTGCTACTTGGCTATATAATGAAGTAGATGCAGTTAGAAATGATAACCGCGAACCGCTAACCCTTCGCTTAGATTCATACTGGTTCTTGTTTACTGAGAATAGCTACGAAGGGTTTGTAGCATTTTTGGATAAAATTAAAAGTCTTGATGATGTATTCTTGGTATCGGTTCAAGACATATTGCAGTGGATTAAGAATCCCGTTTCTGCAAGTCAGTACAAAGTACCTGATCACAGTGGTCGGACGGCAGATTGCCATAAAATTAGTTGTCGTCTCATGAATGAAGACAATCAAGAGAGATACATGATGAGCTGCGTTCCATGTCCAGCAGTTTATCCTTGGAAGGGCAATCCTCTTGGCGAAGCTTCTAAGTAACCAGTAAAATGACGCTTTCTAAGATTTTATTAGTCGTCTTGAATTTTAAACGAACACTTTAGTGCTGTATGTGATACATTTGAAAATCAAATAAATAATTTCACTGAAGTACAATTTCCTGCATGTCACTTATGTGAACAAAATTGGTCGAAAATTACTTCGACAAAACTTTCCTTGCTCGTAAAAAACAGTCCACCACATCCACCGTCTTTGAAAAATTGTAAAATTAGAAATTTTTGTTAACGCTTTGTCATCTCCACGATATTCCTAATAAAAATATAAAATTTGTAATAATCGGTATAGTAGTTTCGGTGATTAGCTGTCTAATAAAAATTGACACAGACAGATGACAGACAGACGAAAACTGGAGACTTATTTTTTCATATTGTAGGAATCATGGGACATCTAAAAAACATGAAAGTAGCGATTCGTCGGATAGACAGTGTTGCAATACTTCCTCAGCTTACGCTCGGGAACTGAAAAGACATCGTACCAAGTTTTGTTCAATACCAGTCCCATACTGTTTTTGCAATATTTTTAAAATAGAAATCTTTTATGTGCAAATTAATTTGACCATCAAGTTAATGTGGTTGTTGTATTATTACAACAGATTCAAAGAATTTCGTTTACACCGTAAAACACTGATTAACGAAGTAAGGTGTACAACATCTACCTATCCAACTAAGAAAACTCTATCTCCCAAGCACCCAAAAGATGTTGGTCACTTGTTAATAAAAAGAAAGGTTTATAACGCGTTATAACGATAAAGAACTTGCATCTCCACCAGCTATAATCAATATTAAAGCCAAAACACCTTCACACAAAGAACTGATAGCATTCCAAGTTTTTTTCGTAAGGACACCTATAATCTCTGCCATGCCTCTATTAAAATTTAAATTATTCATTCTCATTCTGAAACGTTTACGTAAAATCTGGAAAATATCGTGGGAAGTAAAGTCATCAGTCACTTGCCGTCAACATGTTTTTTTGTTGTATCATTTTTGTACATAATATTGTGTGTACTGTTTTGACGTGCCACGTGTGTAAGTATTTTGTACATATAACATGAATAAAGATTATTATTATTATAGAACAAAGATTTGTGGTATTTAATTTAGCGTGTTTCACTCAAAAATCAGCTTGAACCATTGACAACTGCGGTAAACTAATCAGTATCTTTATTTCTAGAAATGAATCGGGGCTTCCACAGGGGTCGAACTTGGGTACTTTGTTATTCTTATTTTATTAATTAATGATACTGCTGAGGTTATTTATACAAACAAACGGTGATGATGTAAAAATATTTTATCGAATCAATTCTCAAGAGTAGGTACTGTAAAAAGATTCAGCTCGATTTAAATTTTGGTCTTTGCTTGGGGCAAGCTAAATAGCATAACACTCAATGTCATACCTTTAGAAAAACGGTGTAATTTAATAGTAAATAGCTATATTTCTTTTCAAACTTTTGCACAATCAAGTTGATTTTATTTGGCTTATGTTCAGAATTAAGTTTTGCGTTCCACGACTGAATACACGCATTCTGTTATTCTATACCTAGATCAAATATTATGATTAAATCTCTTTTGTCATTCGCTTGTCGGATTTTCACAGTATTCGCCATATTTGCGATATTAACCCAGATCCACTGTGTAGTTAAGACGGAAGCTTTTTTAAATTCTTGATATACCGTCTTTCACAAAATTTCGCTGACAACATTCTTTTCGATACCCTACACAAATTTGTTCCTAAATATTGGGCTTAATTTTGTCCCATTACCATATTTTTAGACGTATGTACATACCAGCGCTTGAAGGTTCTTTATTAAATAGCTCTTTTCATAGAAAAATTGAAAATTTTACGACAAATTATGCCGTTAAAATAAAATACATCACTGAATGTATTTCAGCAGCATTAAATGATAAACGTTAAGCAAAATTTTAATCTTGCCTTCCACATAATGTTAATAGTACTTAGATTGTGTCTTTAAGTATTTAGCACTTTGCATCAAAATATTGCTCACGGGTTTTCAGAAGCGTTCCTATTGAATATTATTTTGTTGAAAAATAAGTTGAAAACTATCATCTTTTAAACCCCTGAATACTTACCTCTTAAATTTGAATCAAATTTTACTTTAAATTTTAGTCTTTAATTTTTTTAATTATCTTGGTTGTTAACTTTCGTGTCTCATATTTGTAAAAGAATAATTTTGATATTTGAAATCTCACGACAATGCGACTAAAAACTCACATTTCACTCACATCTTTCATTGCAATGGTGTACTCGTAAGAACTAAAACAACAGAGGGAGGATTAAACTGAGCTATGCGGAAGAAAGATATATAATACAAAAAGACTACAAAACTTCAAATTATTTACGCGTAGGCAATTCATTATTACAGAATTCCAAACAACAGAATCTGATGTAACAAGACTCGGTGTAATAGACTTTTTTATAACAAGGTTTGAAAGTACAGGGTTCAGAAAAATACGATTCTTTCAGATTCATAGGAAGGTATTTCGATATAACAGAAAAACCATGATAGAAAAACCAGTTGGATTGTAACAAACCGGTAATAAAAAAAACGTCAATATCGATCAGTACTTTTACATTCAAATGTCGGAGCTGAAAAACTATTTAATTTAATATACATTTTTTCATAACGACCTACTTTTTGTACAAACTGTTAAACACTGCAAACAAAATATTTTATTTTGGATTGTTTAAAGTCTCCGTATTAACTATACTGCTTCGTTACCCATTGTTATAATTTATAAGAACATGTTAATTAAATTTTTACGTAGTTACGCGATAAACATACTTTCTTCTAGCGATAATAATCGAATGATATAAAAGCAACGACTGGATTGTTTTATACTGCGGTTGCAGAAATAGCAGGCAGTAGCGTAAGTTCTCAACAGGCTTCAGGATACCGGGAGCAGACTGCTTGAATTGGGGACCATTTCAATGCAAATGAGAATGTCACGGCGCGTCACCGACCGCATGCCGTACTGTAAGAACAAAGATGAAACAGTAAAGATACATAAGATGGCCCTAGCGACTTGCCCTGTAATATTATTCGATACTTAATACCTGGTTTTTATGGTGCAAATATGAACTTTAAATATATTTCAAAGTGTTAATACATCAATATACCTTACAATAAAAGTTTTCACTTGATAAGTTTAGTTCAGAGTTAAAATGTAATCGTTACTTTATTTTTAAATTTCAATAGTGTGCATGTCAAATTGTCGACATTTTAATTTTCTTGGGTGCGCAAATGATTGACACAAGCGGATATTTTGCAGGCTATTTTCTGAAAAAAAAAAGAAAATGTGTATTTATCGTTCTATTCCAATAAAATTAAAAGATTAACATAATTTAGCAAAAATTATGAAAAAGCATAACAACGTAAACAATGAAAAGTAACACTGGATTCCGGCCGGTTTGGCGAAAGCTCCTCGAGCAAAATCGATATTGAAGTACATAGTTTGATTCCAGTTAATACTAAAAAATCAAAAGAACCTGCATGGAAGCAATTTGAACGTTTTTGTGAGGAAAGAGTGTATGTTTTCGAAAGGAATACAATATGAGACGATGGGATGGTACAGAATATAAGGAAAGGTGCAATTTATAAATCAACTTAACATGAAATTTTACATATGCATATTATTATTTCAACGTCAATTTTGTCAAATAATTGACATTTGAACAAGTATATAACAACACAGATTTTCTTTATATAGCTATTTCGTCTTCCTTTATCAATGTCATTATTAATCAATTAATTACCAACAAAACCACTCTGTTTACGACGCAAAAGTCAAATTTCCGTCACCGTCAACTAACAATTTTATTTGTTTTGATTCAAAACAACAATTTGACATAAAAAACGTAACGTAAAAGATGAAAGTCATTCATCTCTTATGTTATGCTAATGTTACACACTTTTCTTATGTCGAATATAAGTAGTATGTCAATCTATAAATCAGCCTTTAGATAGTAGTTTCTTTGGCAAAAAAAATTAAATAATGAAACACAAAAAATATCTGACACACTCTGTCCGCCTGCAGGTATTTGTTTATTTCGTAATTTATTAAAAATTTTGCAACGGAGGCAATAAACCTTAAAAAACATTAGCCTGTCGAAATACGTGATCTAATTTAGTATATAATCTGTTTAGTGTTGCAAGTTGATGCCTTTATGTTATTATTTTAATTAAACCTAAAATAAATAAACTACCTATATATCAGTTAAGCAATTTAAGCGGAACCAATTTACTAAAATTTGAATACGTATGTTTTTCATCTACCTCAAAAAATTATTAAATAAATCTTTATTGAAAAGTATGATCAGAATTACTTCAGTTACATTTTTTATTTTGATTTAATTTAATGTCAGGTTATTCGTAATGAAGAAAAATTTGGTATATAATAATAATAATAATTTAATAGATCCAACGGCCAAAGGCGTTTACAGGAAAATATAGTACTATGGGCGCCGGTAGGGGGGTGCAAGGGGGTGCACTTGCACCCCCCTGTCTTAGTATAAACTACACTCTTTAATGTAAATCCAAATTGCAATCTTCTAGGAAGTGGATAATATGTAGTTTTTGAAATGATTTCCGCATTCAGTTCTTGCAGTAGCACATATCCTAAAAATTCTTCGCAAATTATTGGACTTTTATTGTCTTGATCACAACGCAAATACCGAACTCCAATCGATAATTGTTCTGTGCCACTACTATTAGCAGTCTCATCACCCAACACCTAAAAAACGGATGCCTGATTCATCTCCTCAATTATTTTGCTCTTCAGATCATCAGAAGCAATTTCAATCAATTCATTTTTAATTTAATGCGATATATACAAAGAGTTTCTTGCTCCTGACTCTAAATTATTTTTTTAAACTTCATCCCCAGATTTAATACGAAAATGGAGCAAATATACTATATCCTATAATGTATGGGTGCACCCCCCTGCAAATAATCCTGTCGGCGCCCATGTATAGTACATATCAATTATTACAAAATGCGTTAAAAAAAATACTAGAAACACTTACTAATCAGTAGACGAAATTACTTAACACTAATGAATAATTGCAAGGTGATCTTATTA